TTGTGTGTAGATACTGCTGTAGCGATATGCATAGGATTAATAGCAGGTCTGGTCACTTTATGATCCTGGTGAGTACTGACTACTCTTCCATTATGGACCACATGATGAGACGCTGGATGCAAATAATCTGGATCAGGATGCAGCGGATCAAAGTCTGGCGGAGGCTCATTATAAAGATCTTTGATACTTTCATGGATCACAGGTGTTTTGTCCGTTTCTTTTGGAAGAACATCATTTAATGGATGTTGGTAAGACTCAAAAGGATCGTTAACATCTCCTTTTGGCCTGTATCCATTAAAGGAGTTACCATAAGGCATTGGGGGGCTATACCCATCCTCCTTTGGAGAATGTCCATTCCAAGGATGTTCTCCAAATCCAAATGAAGTTTGAGGCCTAAATGCATTGGGGCCATTCATATATGGCCTATAGTTCCCAGCTGGGATGCCAATGATTGGATGAGGATGAGCTACATATGGTCCTGAAGGAGTGTACTTGCCCAGAGTATTGTACGGTCCAGGATGATAATGCGCTTTATGGAAGATGAACGGATTTACGTGAGGAGAGTAGATACCATGATTAATGTGGCCAGGAAGAGGTTGGTGGGTGTAAGGATCAACTGGTATTGGTATTGGGACTGGAACTGGTACGCGAATACCAAAAACACTTGGGCTTGGAGCTTTTGGGCTTGATGTAGCTGAATAAAACAACCAATAAATTATTTTTTTGGTAATTGCATGTTAAATTTCGAAGGCAAGTCTGATGAAAAATGAAGTTTATTGATATTTTATTTACCCGTACTCGGTGGAAGCCCTGTTGGAGTTAAAAGAGGGGTCGAAACCTTAGGTGGAACACCTGTAAAAAAGTTAAAATTAGGTCTTTTCTTTTTCATTTCTGTGGTTTCCAGACAGACTCTGGATTGAAAATTCCCCAAAAGAGCCTTAATGAACAAGGATATTCTCAACAGCTGACTTACCTTTGAGAATTTTTTCAACAAACTCACAGGCGGGATCACTGACTGGATTTTTTGTCTTCATGATAACAGCATTTTCACAGGTCGGAGGGCTTCCAATGATGCACAGTTCAGGTTTGCTGACAGCTGTACATGTGCCAGCGGATATCACCATAACGCCATGCTCGTGGAGTTCTTTCGCCGGTAAAACAACATCATCGACTGTTTTCCCACACATCATGTGAATCAGTCGTTTTTGAAAACCACGGCGAGATTTGGCTTGAAATACAGACTCTTTAACTGTTTTCAGCGCCGTTCCTACTTTAGGCACTCCACCAACTCGAGTCAAATGACTCAACGCATTGTCCATACTTCCAACATCAAAAAGTTGATCAAGATTGAAAACAATTTTGGTGTCAGCACCGTAAATTGCTACAGCGATGTGAGTCTCTTCAGGCGAGATGGAAAATTGATTATACACCGTTTTCGTTATTTCGATAAGGCTTTGGAAATCTTGATCATTGATGGCATCACTCGCGTCTATTAGAAAACCAATGTCCAATGGGAGTCTCTTATCTGCATGTAATCCACAGTCGACTTTCAGGGGTAGGGTAGGGTGAGGAAGTGGTAATGGTGTTGCTATGGTGCAAACATTACAGAGCAGACCGTTTCCAATGACGAAGACTGCAAAGAAATTTAATTCATGTCGGTTAAGATGGTGAAAGGTATAAAATATTTTTTTTATTTTTTGCTCTTAATTCACAAAAAAAAAGCGTATTCCACGGTATAAAAAGATGGTTGTTCTTACTGCCTTCTAACTGCTTCGCCAAAATATTTTGTACGTTAGAACTGAATGGGAAATCTGGCTCCTCAATAACAAAATCACTAGGAGGAGCACTAGAAACAGCTCCAAGAAATGACCAATCAGAGGCTCGGCCCAGTCCAACAGCAAACACCATAACACCAYTCCTTCGCAGATAATTGACAGAAGTGGTCACATCACCATCCCATTTTCCGCCACTTATAGCCACTAAGATTTGAGGCACMCCCCTGCGACCTTGGCTTTGAAAGACCTGTTTCGTTTGGTTCAGACCTGCACCCATATCACAGCTTTCGTCTGTTGACCTTCCTTCGGCAAGTGCAACGGAAATATCTTTCTTACTGCGTAGATCTTTCAATACCTAACAACGGTTTGATATAATACTATTTGGTTAAATGTCTGGGCCATGTCGGATAAATAGAACTAAATGTGATAGGCCACGTATAATACAAACTGAAATCTTACATGATAATGATGATGCCTTAGTAATGAAACAGTAACAGTATTATACCTTAACGTCGTTGGAAAACGTCAGAACTCCTACATTCGTTTCACCAATAGCCAGCGAGTTTAAAATTGATTTAACAATTTCTGCCACCTTGGGGAAGGAAGGAGATGGCACATTCCGACAAGCATCCAGGAGAAAAACTATGTCAACCTTGGTCTCTGTAAGAAAAGCGATTAGTAGATAACGAACGATATATATCGCGATTTTCTTTTAAGAACTTTCAGTTATACATTTACACATTATCAACTGTACCTCCTCTTTGGACACATTGAGTACTCCAGGCTTTGACAACAGAAAGTACTGCAAAATTAAACGGCGAATTCTTTTAAATATTTACCAAATTACTATATGTACCAAACTAGTGTGAGTCTCAGAGATAATCTAAGTTGACTTGATGATTTCAACCGAGCTTCATTTTCGTACATACCTTTGTATATTTTTGAGGCCATCATTTCACCAAGAGGAACTTCTCCAGGGTATGTTTCACTTATCATAACATACTCTGATCGAGGGGAACTGGCCACTTTACTAATCTCATTGGAATCAAAGGAGGTTCCAAGACCCATAGTGAACATCAGTACGCACGATTCTTTTAGCTGCTGMGCAGGGKCATCCACTGGATCTTTGGAGGGTCCTGTAACAATRGTCACTACCACGTGTGGYATGTTTGGGCGGCCATAAGGATCGAAAATTAATGTCTTCATCTTATTTAAAGCATTACCTATAAAACTATCCCCACCCGGGTAAGGAGCACTATCAACTGTGTTGTCCATTTCTTCCACGGTGAAGAAAGTAAAGAGATTGAAGACYWTTTTMGTTTTGGATGACAGGATTACAAAGGACACATGGGTTTCATCCCTGGCAATGATAAAGAAACGGTAGATTGCCTTCACAATTTCTTTGATCTGTTCGAAGTCTTGTGGCTTGGTGTTATCGCCACCATCAACGAGAATGACTAGATCAATTTTCCCTGTAAATAGAATGTCACAGAAATTGTGAAAAWGTTAAGGTAATAACAAAATTACACTAAAACCGTGCTGATAATRTGMTAGCAAAACTACTAATATGGACARATATAGTTTCGTTTTCTCTTCATCTCCTCTACTAATTTCATTGTCAAAAGGACTCACCATTTACGATYTTTGGAGATGGAGGTATTGTTTTTGGAGGTGGAATATCTGAAATTCAAAGCATATCTTTCAGATATTATTAAATTAATATTAGATTATTGATTAATAAGGTTACATACCATTTTTTACTTTGGCAATTTGCAGTTTGTCTATTATATCAAGAGCCCCTGGGTTAAGATCATCTATGTTGATATCCTTAACAATGTGTTTATTTAATGGAACGCTGGCGGTATCTTCATAAACTTTACTTTGAACACTTGTGCCAATACCAAGTACGAATATCTCGACTTTACTGTCCCTTAATACTTTGACTTCATCTGAATACTGGTCTTGAGGATTTCCAGCCATAATGACAACAAGAACCTAGCATGTATATAATAATGACATTGTCACAATAATACATCTCTCGTAATTGTATATTCTACATAAGTTATGTACCTTTCTCGAAGCTTTTCGGCTACTTTTATCAAAAATGTTTGTCTTGATAGATGAAAATGCCTGGCCAACGTTAAGCAGTCCTTTTCCTCCGGGATACGTGGTGCTATCAATAGCAGAGTTTAACGCTGGTTTGGTAAAATATTTGTCCAGATCGAAGACTATTTGAACAGTAGTTGAGATTACGCCAAAACCAACATGAACGTCGTCTTTAGAGAGAGGGAAAGCACTACAGATGTATTTTACTGCATCCAGCAGATAGAGAAAGTTTGCCTTTGGGACATTACTGGATCCATCAATTAGGAAAACAAGATCGACTTGTACAGCTATGGAGAAAAGATATGTAAATAAGCTTTTAAGCTTATTTAAAAATGCAAACATTATCGAAGACATCACATAAGCAACTCAATGTAAATGACAAAATGGAATACAAACCAAATAGAACATGAGTTACCTCTCTTGATTCTTGACACTAGGTTTTCTCCTGAAGAACCCCTTGGAGAATACGAAGCCAGAATCAAATGATTCTCAGGATATGATGATACTATTTCCGTTAGTTCAGCTCCGTCAACGCTCGAACCAGCTCCAATAGCAAATATGGTAACATTCCCTTGCTTTGCTTGCTGTGCAGCCTGGGTGACTGAGTCACGTGATTTAGAACCGGTTATTAAAACAAGTATGGCAGGAGTTTGTAAGCGTGTGTTTGATTTGAAGAGATTCATATATGTATAGGAAATAGCCTGACCAAGGCTACTTGMSTCCTTTGACGGACTTTGCGAGATGGTTTCAAGAGCGGTATCTATCTGTTCTATAGTATGATATTGYTCTAATGAAATTGCTGTTGAGGGKCCACCATTAAATACCACAATACCAACTCTTGTCTTCTGCTGATTCACGACAAAAGAGCTGTAGATCACTTTGATAATCTGAAGTACTTTTGGGAAAAATAGCGACGTGAAGCTGCTACTACTGATGTCCAAAAGAAAACCAAGCTCCATTTGAACTTCTAAAAAATTAAAAAWTGCATCATTGACACAACAAAAGTTTAAAAATCATTGATTGCAAAAATGCTCAAACATTTGCATTTTCAGCCCAAAAAGAAAAGAACAACAACAACAATTGTTAGGAGGGATAAGACGAAATGAAAAATGACTATGCCACTCACCAAGTGGACTCTCTGGTGCCCCACTGCTCACAGCTGTTGACGAAAAACAGATAAATTACATCAACAAAAAGTATCGACATGACATTCATGTTTCCTGTGTTAGYGGTATACTACACTTTAAGAAATCTTCTCAAAGCGGAGGTAGAGTGATATTATGATAAATGGATCAGAAACTTGCCTTGTCTAATATTCAGCACAAGTGGAGCAAGCTGTTCCTTAATATTCGASGGATCAGCCATTAAAAACCTATCTTCAGTTGGTGCACTAACAATAGAGCTGAGTTTAGTTCTGTCAGCTTTACTACCAACAGCAACAAGAAATATGATAACCCCATGGTCGCGTAGGTACCGCGATGGTGCTTTTATGTCATCTGTAGGTGTCCCTGCAATCACAATCACCAGAACCTTTTGTGCACCAGGTCGTGCACTRGCYTCAAAAATAGCACTTGTCACCAATGATAGACCAGCTCCAAGAAGTGATTTGTCGCAGTCAGGGTACTGAACACCGTCGACAGCGTCGTTCATTCTTGCTTTCTTCGTGTACTTCATTAGATCAAACACAACTTGAGATGCACAACCAAACAGTGCCAGTCCTACGTGAGTTGCATCGCGTGCAACTGGAAAGTTGCTGTATACATTTTTTATAAATGTTTTTGTTGTAGTAAAAGTTTGCTTATCCATTGCATTCGAGCCTTCGATGAGGAATACAAGATCGAGAACATGATCTGAAAGTCAATAACATGGACATKAAAGTAAACAGATGTTCAATTTASCTTTCATTTTCTTCAAATCGTCATGGAAATTTCGTMTCAAACATTTCCAATACTCCTGTCATGAAACCTCTAACATGACGATTCCATTGTAGATAAGTATTACATAATTGTTACACCTTATTWCCACTTCATAAAGACGACCAATAGCGTAAATATGTAAATCAGATACCTTGATTGCTGATGTTCCTGGCA